CAGCAGCAGTAGCAGCAGTAGTAGTGCTAGTAGTAGTCGTCGTAATAGTAGTAGGCTAGTAGTAGCAGTAACAGCTGTAGTAGTAGTGGTTGTCGTAGATGTAGAAGTAGTAGCAAACGAAGAAGATGTCAGAGTAGCAGTAGCAGTACCAGCAGGACTAGTAGTAGTATTAGTCCAAGAAACAACTGCCAAGACACAGGCCAAAAGAATCCAGGCTGGGATTGCCATCCTTGCCTTTTTGGGACAATAGTCGTTGCTCGCCACGAGGATGGTCAAGATTGGCAGGTACGACTGTATGGTAACACTGCATGGTTCTATGTTGTTGTTTTGAACTTTCGTTGGCTTATAAGTATGACGGCAAGCCTCGAACAAACTGACCCGCTGCAGAAAGGAAGAACTAGCAGGCCTCGACCAGTATGACTCGCTGAGGCCGAAATCGATGATGTAAAGGTGGTGGATCTGTCAAGGCGCTAAGCTGCGGCATGAGGAGATGGTTATGGGGCATTACATTAAACGGGCACTGGTATTCCTGACAGCTGCGATACGTGCATGCATACATACATACATACGTACATACATACATACATACATACATACACAGACATACATTCAGACCTACCTACCTACCTACCTACCTACCTACCTACCTACCTACATACATACATACATACATACATACATACATACATACATGCATACACACATCTTACATGCATCCATTCATCCATAAATGCAAACATACGTACGCACGTGCATACAACCCTGCATACCTACCTATCTAAGTCGACATTCGTACCTGCATACATATACAGACACATACATGCATGCATGCATGCATACATACATACATTATACTTGCATACATAAATCCATACCTGCATGCCGACATACCTACCTATGGGCATAATTACCTTCATTTATAGATAGATAAATAAATATATATATATATATACATGACAGCACTTGCTTTGGCCAGGCATCCAGCTGGCCTTGCCATCCAGGCCCCACATAAAGTTCTCGGGCTTGATATCTCTGTGGACTACTCCTTTGGAGTGGAGATACCTCGGCCAGTCGAATTCAATTCTTCGGAGGCTTCGACGAGTCTTGGGGATTTAGGGGTCTTGCAAAATCGCGATCTCAAGTGACCGGGCTGCCTTTGCTATTGACTCGGGCTGGCTTCGGCTGTAAGGCAAGTAGATCCGGAATGTAAGCCCAGGAAGGGTTCCACAATCTCTGAGTTCCATACTCAAGCCGTCGCAATGCCTGCTGAGCCTGGAGTCGGTTATAAGATTAGGCGTTTGGGGCCTGGTTTGGGGTTTAGGGTGTGAGTTTGGGGTTCTCAAGAGTTCATCACTGCGGTCTTATGACACACGGTCTGGCCAGGTTTAGAGACGAGTGTCTTCAAGCATTCCCTACTTCCATGCTCAAACCCGGCTTGTGCAATCTTGTGCGGCGGCCTTGCTAAAACGACTGGCCGCGTGTCCCCTTTTTGACTGACATCTGGAAAGGCACTGAACAACAGTGCCATTGACACCCACATGAAGCCACCAAGCCACCCTTGCAAGGTAAATATTTAAGTCTCATCCTGACTATTCGGTGTGCGAGACCTTGCCCTGTCCTACAACGAGACAACCTACCAAGTCTCCAAACAACAGTATGCTGTGGAAAAGCTGGGCTCGCTGCTATGAGAACCTTAGTAGCGTTTGGTTTCGAAGACGGCAACATCCGCTTCGAGACTCGGGAGATTTGACAACTCTGGTGGGGCAGTTTGTCGTAACGGTTCGGTACAGCACCTTCCTGAGAGTCGGGGAATTTAGGTCTCCTACTTGTAAACACGACTGGTGCAGTGGCAAACCTCCCAATTCATCCCTTCTTGTCTACTAACCATACTACCACGACGAAGAAACTGAAGCAGCTGCTACATTTGCTGCGGCGAATGTTCTGTCTTGGTGCGAACAGAATCCAAAGTAGCGATGAGGACTGCCACTATACTGCCCAATGCTAAAATTCAGCATATTAACAATGATACATGATGAAGTCTTTACGGCGATTAGACCGATCTGTCATGGTGTCGCTGCAAGGCTGAGTGCTCCGTGTTGGTGCCAACCGCGAACATGGTACCACCACCTTCACCACCTTCGCCACCACCACCACCACCACCATCATCATGATCCTCACTATCGCGAGCGCCATACTTGTGATCTGCACCCAAACAAACGCAACCAGCAGAAACACGACCTGCATAAGCTGCACATACGTGAAGCATCACACCCACCCACCCACCCACCCACCGTTGAAGGCTCCGACAACTGTCTTGGCCTCCATTTTGCCACCGCAATCCTGGTGGAGTCTCCAAAAGCCGAAACAGGGACGAAGAGTGAGTAAGCATAGACTCAAACCGTTTGAAACCGAGCGAGACACCAGATGATAGCAAGTTGCCATGCCTCTAACGAAAACACTCTTCGTCTGAGATACAGACGACATGGATATATAATGTTTATGTTCTAGGAGCGGCAGGGAATGCTTAAGCATCCATCCTTACTTTGAGAAGACAGCCCCCCGAACCACAGGCTTCAATTTCATGCACTGTTGTCGCCAGTCTCAATTTCGATGACGGGAAACCCTGCATATTAGTAGCAAGACCCTGAGCCCACAGCAAGTGCATCACTACCGAACTGCCGGGCTTCGTGATCCAGATTTCAGAAGCTACAGAACACCTCTGAGCCTTAGTGTTCGCATCTCCTGTTATGCAGGGTTGAGTAATTAAGATTGCCCACAAAGCCCTTTATCAATGTGTCGGTATAGAGTCCGATATAAGCCAGTAATGGCTTAAAACAGAACCCATAAACCTTGATTCGAAGCTGCGCAAAGAAGGGTTTTTGGTTACCTCCCCACACCCTAACATGAAGCCACAAGATGGACCTCCATGCAGTCTTCGAGGCACCTGCAAACCGTGATTGCCAGGGGATGGCTCTTGCAGCCCCTAGTTGTCTATGTTTGCTATTACTTTCCTTTTTCGTTTTACCTCAATTTTTTTGGGGAGGGCTCAGATCAAGGATATAGCGGAAATATGGCGCTAGGGTGACGGATTCGATACAAGGATCTCAAGCCGAAGCCTGCACAGCCTCTGCAAATCGCCAGCTTGGGCTTCAAGGTTGCAGTGCTGAGCGGGGGCCGTGCTACACGCATCTAAATCAGCAAGGGTTTAGGGTTTGGGGCTTGGCATGGGCATTTCAGAGCTCAAAGTCAGTGCTGATGAGATCATGATAGGCAACAGACATGAGATTGCTAGAAGAACTCCAGCGGAAGGAACCGTCTCAAGCCGCTTTGGGAACAACCGGACAGAACGCCTTACCTAACTTCTCGATTTCCACCAAAACCTTTGCAGGTAGCATCCCAACCCGGAACCCAAGGTCACATAACCCCAAACTCCAAACCTCAACCGACACCCTTAACCTCAAACACTTGAAAACCTAACCGTGAGCTACTCCCAGGTCCAAATCCTCAAACCGTCGGCTCAGAATACAAAAAACAGCAACATAGGGGCCTCACAAATTAGGATAGAGACTAGGGGGGTAGTACAATACTTTTAAAATTTAGAGGGGCGCTGTAAGGGGACAGTGTTTCTGGTTGTTCCGACTCACCTTAAACATCAATCACCCCTTCCCCCCTTTCCAAACAGCTCATCCGGGAGCCCCAACTTTCCCAGCCGATCCATGACCTCGAAAGCAAGAGTCTGGGTGAAGCCATAGGGCCATAGGGTTCAGAGATGAGGGTTGACGCAGAAGCCTCAAGATTCAGAGCCGGTGTTGAAGGATTGGGTATAGGGTTTAGGGTTTAGGGTTTAGGGTTTACTGCTTTTGGATTCACTGTTGGCATGTCCACTGCAGGATGTGGTCTTCTGTCGGATAAGTTTCGGTTCTTCTCAAAAGCCCTCCACGTCGAACTCTCAGCACTCGCCTTCAGGCTCACTCAAAGCTCTGTGGCCTAGTCTGGGGAGGTATTCATCATGTTGGGATAGGTGTTTATGCAAGATTGGACGGGAAGGGAACAAATGCTCAAGGGTCAATGCCTGCATGCAATCGGTATTGAAGACCGCCATGTAAAGTTAATACAGCAATGTAGCAAGGCACACTTTCAAAACACGACATCCCCAGCTGCTTCAGGAACTACATGTTCATGTTGTCTCGGCACCAACTTGGGCGCACTGCGGGCCATAAAGCCCCAAAGAACGACATGGATTGCAAACATCAGAAGGCGCCCAGCCAAGCACGTGAAGCTGCCAAGCTTCCCGAAGAAGAACACCTCTCTCAGAATGCAGGTCTTGGGGCTTAAGAAACTAACGCGAAGTATCTGGAAAAGGGTTCAGGGTTTAGGGTTTAGGGGTGAGGCTCGTACACTTCCAAAAGGCTCCTTCGTTTGCAGGCCCGGTTTTGGCACAGCTTCATGGAGAGCGCTCTGGATTGCTGTCTACGAAAACCCCCACTCCGCTGCTTTAGGATTGGTTCGATGACCGGAGTCATATTCGCTTCATGCCTCGGGAAGACATGTGTTGCAACTTGAGATCAAGGTGGCTCCTTTCTTCTCGGGAACTCCGATGACCTGAGCGGCTATAAACAGTATTCCGAAAGCCCAAGCCTGTGTGCGGAGCGGTTCCCTCACATCCTGGTCAGACCCTCAACAAAGAGGGAGAAGAGGTCCAACAGCCGCGTCGAATTGAAGCAACCCTGCAAGACGAGACTGCATGCACAAGTTGCCTGAATGAAGTCTGCATATACACCAAAAATCTATCCCCCTATCCCCCTCTTGCCTTTTGGTGCCTCCCAACATCCTTTCACTGCCAACTTAAAGTCCTAACCACGAAACCCTAAACTCCCCATGTGGCTATGTCTGGTCAACCCTGCCTCGACGAAGCCCTGTGGCCTAGGTGTTTTCAGGGACTAGATGCCTACGGGCTACCCGCAAAACATGGTGGTAACACCTCATGGCGACCCATACCCACAATGACAGCAAACAAGCTGCAGAAGCGAGAGAAGCGCAGACGGTCATAATTGCACTGAGGAAGAATACCCGTGCAAACGGCAATGCTGGCAAGAGGAGCCGTGGCAAAAACAGGAGTAGCAGAAGCAGTAGCTGTAGCAGCAGCATCAGGAAGTTGAGGCGAGGCGGTGGCGGAGGAGGAGGAGGAGGAGCAGGTGGAGGAGGAGGAGGCGGAGGAGGAGGAGGAGGAGGGGAGTAGTACTTGTTCTTGTAGCCGTCGTCGTAGTAGTAGCCGCAGCAGGTGTAGCAGTAGTAGTAGTAGCAGAAGTAGAAGAAGTAGTAGTAGTAGTTGTAGTAGTAGTGGTAGTAGTAGTAGTAGTAGGTTTTGAAGTAGTAGTAGTAGTAGTAGTAGTAGTAGTAGTAGTAGTAGTGGTATGGTAGTAGTAGTAGTAGTAGTAGC